TTTTTTGGTTTTTCTCCGGTACCGGGAACCGAACTCACGACCTTGCGCTTGCCAGGCAGGCGCTTTTGCCGCTGAGCTAAATCCCCAGCCCTTTTTTTTTTTTTTTTAACAGGGAAATAATATTCATGGATATCTCAGGGGTTAAAGTGAAGACAAATTAGTATTTGTAAAGTGCTTAGAAAAGTGGCCAATAGTGAGTGCTATGTAAGTGTGTAGTAAGACTGACCTCTCTATGTCCCTTAGTTGGCAGCAGCAGTATTTTCTTTTGGTCCTCTGGCCCTAAAGGCATACAATAAAACCCCTTTCTATGTTTCTGGATTTATTTTGGAAGTCTTAAATTTTAGGCACTGGATACTTGGATTTTTTAAACCCAATCCTTTTCTACAACTTCTCAAATGAGCCACTAGGTCCCCACATTTCATTTGAATTGTTATGATTATAGAAAAAGCCTCCCCTTATCTTAATAATAGATGTGTTAGGTCTCATATTTAAGATACCTGAAAAGATACTGTTAGTCAATACGTTTGTAGTGAGCACCACAGAAGATATTCAGGGGTGAAAACAGCTTCCATTGCCTTTCCTTTAAGGTGTTTGAAATGTCTCCCCATCTATTTATACTGTTCGATTGTTTGTTTGTTTGTTTTTATAAGGACAGAGTCTCACTGTATAGTCCAGCCTGGCCTCTAACTGTGGCAATTCTCCTGGCTCAGCCTCCTGAGGGCTGGGATTGACAGGGGTGCACCATCCTGCTCTTTATACCTCTTAACAAGCCCACATCTGCCACCAGGTGGTCCTCTGACCTGCTGATGATGCTTTTCATCTGGCTGTCTTTCTCCTCCTGCTGCCTGCGCAGCCGCTCCTCACTGTCCTCCAGGCGGGCCTTGTATTCCAGCAGCAGTTTCTGCATCTGCTGCTCCTGCACCAGCAACCTCCGTTCATACTCCTCCAGCCGCCGGCTGGATACTCGCAGGCGCTCCTTCAGTTTGCTAATTTCTTGTTCATACTAGAGCAGAAGAGAAGAGGCAAAATGACAAGGAGAGTTACACTAGTTTTAGAAACTAGAGATTTATATTTTAATGGAAGAAACCTTAAGCAGTGCAGCTGGATGCTGCCTGAGTTGCCTTTCCCTTTGTTGTGGGTAGTGTTATTTATTTGTTTGTTTGTTTGTTTGTTTTTGCTGCTCATGCTATTTGAAATGATCAGCTGGCATAAAATGTTAATGAGCATTGCCCTCTTCTAAAATTACATGTTAAGTCTTTACTTGGCATTCTACATTCTACAGATTTAGGTATCTCTCTTGGTATTACAAGTTGCTATAAGCCACATCCAATCAGTGATGGTTATCAAATGGGCAGGGGAAAAAAGATCAAGCACTTAGAAGCCCGACAAATAACTTAATATAAGCCCAAAGTTGCTTACAATGGAAAAGATCTCTGTATCATTGCCCGTACTGTAGAATCCAAAGCATTATTATCACTCATCAGACTGCCATTCCCTTACTGTACCAGAAGCAGCCTGCTGGAGGACAAGCAACATTTCTGTAACATCTCTAAGTCAATAAAAAGTCAATAAAAAGAATTTGCGGCACAACAGGCTATCACTGCTTTCCCCCCAGCTATAAGTGTGAAAGGTCGAAAAACACTAAGGAAAGGCTTAGATTCTCTGGGGCTGATTAATAATGTCTCATTTTTGTGATGTGGCTCACCTACCCAATTTGGTACTTCTTGCCAGAATATTTGTCTACATTCTTACCAAGAAACCTTATATAAAATTCAGTCATGCAATTGGTTATATGGCACTTTCTTGCTGTGGGTGGGGTCTGAGTGCAATGAAACGTCAAATTTTCTAGGTGAGGTGAGAGGCATAAGCTTCTCTATTAACTCATAGTCTACTTATATTTATTAGTAATTAACAATAAATCTGTGTGGTACTTTAAAAGTGCAATTTTATATAATATTATGTCATTTAATTTGGTCAGATACTGTTTGTTCAACCTCATGGGCCTGAATTATGCATGTTAATCTAGGAAGTCAAAGATGAAAGTTTTTATGACAGTTCTGAATAGTAGACTGTATTAATAAGCATAATTTAGGGTTATGCTAATAAGTTAATTATTTGGTTCTCAATTAAATGTGATAATGCTATACACAACAGCAAGATTATTGTTTGATCCTTTTTAGTTCAATTTTCTACCAACAAACTCAAGCGACAGATAATACACTTTAAATAATTATTTATAGAGCTATACACTCTTCTCTAGAAAAGGAAAAAAAAAAGCCAAAATGTCACCAAGATACAGATAGTAAGTCTAGTACTAAGGTAATTTTGAGCTTATGAATACTAACAATAGGTTTATACAGATACAACTATTTACCTAAAATGAGAGTGTCTCCAATATTAAGGCAATCTACATGAAAAAAGTAATTATCTAATCTTTCTCCCCTGTAGCATGATGGGATGGGTATTTCCTACATATGTGTACATGGAGATGCTACTGAACTACTACACATAGGCAGAAATATGGTGGTTAATGTAGAGGCAGAGGAAAAGGTGGTGGCAGCTGGACATAACAACCTTGTCTTGATAACCCTTTTAGTGGCCTATCACTTGTCTGGGCAAAAACGTCAATACAGACAGACTATGTTCTACCTTCTCAGCATGCTTGGCTTCATCTTGATTTTGCTCAGTTTCTTCCACATCCTCTTCATACTGCCCATTGTTTAGAACCCATGCTGCTGTCCTCTCTACTGGGGACATTGTGGCAGAGTCCACAGGTGACTGCACCTGCAGAAATAGTTATTAGGATGTCTTAGAACAGCTCAGTCACTCATTTATGTTTCACAAAGGCAGCTATTTGTGGAAGGCATGACAGTGATCCTTCAATTTTCTATTAAATGTTCTTAGCTTTAAGTAATATTTTTCTAAAGAAAGGGGTAGGGAGAAGAATATCCATTTGTATGCATCACACCCAAGAACCATCCTTTCTTTCCTTCTAAAGAAAGCCAAGGCTTTAAAAATTATTAATCTGCACATTGGTTCAAATGCTGTTAGGTATCAAACTACCTAGTAAGATTAAGATGATGACAGAATTAGAGAAAGAATGCATAACTTGATGGCTGACTGCTTACATGGGGAGATGTCTGTTGAACCCAGAGATGACCATGGGCCAAAGAACTGATTAATGCTATGTAAACTCAAATGATGACATTTAGATATCAGAATGCCAAATACTAAGTTTTTACATTAACTCTTTAGAAACAGAAAGACAAATGATACTGATTATTTTTAGAGGCCACTGACTTCCTTTTCCTAACAATTTAAGATCACTGATGAACACATAATCAAAATGATGAATGCCTTACAGTCTGTGCCATATTTCTAACCAGTTAGTATAACAGGGACATGGAGGCTAGTATTGGGCTATGCCCAGTTGGTAACTAAACGCAGGATAAAGCCTGACATCTCTGCCTTCATTTGATGTATGTTTCCTTTATTACTGTAAAAGTTTGGATCAGATCACTGCTCAGCTCTGTATGTAGGCATGTTGATTACTTAACAAGTGTCTGTCTGAAAACTGCCAATACAAGGTTTATTAGCTCTTAATTAATCTTTCCTTTTCTCATCCCTGCTCCAGCCTGAGAACACCAAGTTGGAGCAGTAAGGCAATTTAAAGATTTACAGGAACATTCCGTTGCCAGCTTCTATAAAATCTGTTGCAGACCACTACGTGGTGCCTAGAGGTCTCCAGTCACAGTCTGTACTCCACAGAATACTCCACTTTGTAGTCTATGTCTGCAGTCATCTTGGATTCCAAGCACAGGAGAGCTTCACAGAACAGATCGCCCCCAGCAGGTACCAGTCGCCTCATGGGAATTGGATTGCTCCCTCAAACCATAAGCACTTCTCTGGGGCCACCTCACAGAACCAATCTTGAGATAACGATCAACCAGACCAGGAATATCTACAGTACATCTACGCAAACCCCCAGCTAGAAAAACCCACAAACTCTGTCTTTGTTCCCCTTTTCTAAAAAACTTCAAAGTATCTGTTAACCCCTCAAGAAGAGAGACCTTGGACCTCTTCATCTGTCCTTTCTGGCATAGCCATGCAAAACAATGATGCTCTTCTGTACTTCACCACTCTTGTCTCTTTGATTGGCATTTTAGGACCGGTAGCTGAGCCTGGTCTATTGAGATCTCTGGATCTGGGACTTTTGCCTTAAAACAAGTTAGGACTGCAAGCTAATTATTCTTTTCCAATAGAGACATACAGGTGTTAAGAACTATGGCCTTCAGGAACAACTCTACCACTCAATACCATGTTTCTAGTCTACTGAATAGGGTTATCACCGCCATCACCTATCGTGACCATCTCACAGGGAGTTATGAGGACTGAGCAAGCCAGTAGATGTGAGAGTTCTTTGGCAAGTGCAGAGCACTATACAGAGGTCACATGTCAGTCTTACTACATTTATGTTTCAAAAACGGAGTTCTGAAGAAGAATCTGGTTTGTTGACCTACACACATTTCAAAGATACATAAGAAAGGCTTCATGCCTAAGAATGCATGTGTGCAGTCTATATGAGTAGACATTTCCACTTGTGAATGAACTTGTCAACATTCTTTCTCTAATGCTACAATTTTACAATATAAATATATGAAACTTCAGTACTCTCAGAATTTAAAATTCTATTTCCATCTCTACTATAGTCATAGGCATGTTTCTTCTTTTGTCATATCCACATCATTAATACATTTACTTACTGCAAAAAATAACCTTTTTTGAGTTAGCTAAGCCTTTGAGGTAAGCAATATTAGTGAAATATGAGTTTGATGTTCCATATATATATTTTATATAGTTATATGTTAATGGTTACATATTCTTCTAATATGTACCAAAACAAGAATATGATTCATAATTGTGTGCACTAATTTTGACCATCATATGGGAACAGTGGCCTATAGGATAAAACATCATCCATAAAAGGAAGATAACTATTCACATCAAAAGTTATATGAAAAAAAGAGATAACGTGCTTTATAAACTAAAGGGACCTTATACATGGATACACATGATAGTTCTCCCTCTGGTGGACTGTAAAAGCAGAGCATAGTGAATTGTTTTTGGATTGGTAAAAGGTAATAGTAACAAGGGTTCAGGTTTTTATTTGATATATGTGTACCAGGAAGGCAAAAGAATGTGGCGGTGAGTCTTAAAAAAATTACTAGCAAGTCAATATTTAAAGGAGACAAATGCCTTTTTAGTTTTTACAGTCTTATTACTCTAGTACAAAGGCGCAGCAAAGCTGCTTTACTGTGAAACCAGAATTTTCTATTCAATAGCAATTTGAGATAAAGTAGCTATTAAACTAATAACAATGTTACTGTTAGGAATTTATTACCTCAAGGCAGTTAATTCAACAGCTTTCTGCTTTATATGGTTAATACGTTGTTGCTTGAATGAACTTTCCCTATGACTTGTTATAGGTAACTTCACTGAGTGTCTATAAATGCTCTGCAAACTAATGGTACTCTAAAAACATACAAAGGAAATAAAATCTTAGCCTTTAAAAGCATATTGAAAACAACAACAACAAAAACATTTTGGAAGTAACTGAGGTTTTGTTAAATGAGAAGACGTAAAAACAAGGGTGGGTTCACTCTGTTGGTGATGGTGTAGCCTCAGAATGACAGATACACTGTCCAATGAGAGATCGTACAATGGGAACTAGGTATTTATGGTCTATTCCTATTTTATTGTTTGAATATTATTTCAGCAACTTCCTGATATGTCCTAGGACTCTGCTTGGCAAACAGTAAGTAGTCAAAATAAAACTGATAAAAAAATCAGACATATCTTTATTATTCCTTCTATTCATGATAAAGCTTTTATAATATTTATAAAGGAACCAGAAAGTAATATTGAATAAACTGAAAGTAGGTACTATTCTAGATTGGAAGAAAATAGAAGTGATATTCATTTAAAAATTAGTGTTGTATGCTTTATACAGTATTAAAAACTATACATTGTCTTTTATATTTTTCCTTTGGTCTTAGGTGTACTGGTCTTACTTACTAACTTGAATGTCAGTAGAACGGCACCACATCATACATTCTTTTGAGTAGTAGTGACTAGTTAAAGGTGTAATAGATACTTAATAAAAATTACTTATTTGCTAATACCCTAGGTTCTAGAATTCATAATCAAAGTTCATTATTAAAAGAAGGACACTGTTTTTCCTCTAGTCCTCTGAAAGTGCATCAAAGGCTTTTCCTCAATGATTTTTCTATTTCTTTCATAAGTTGGATATATTATTATCTTTAGTTTACAGTCCAAGAAATTGAAGGAAGCAGCTGGTAAGTGGTTCAGAACCCATCTTGTGTAGATATAGCCTTAGGAAGAGAATTTATACCACTGACTCTCGAAAGAAGAATTAAAGAAAATGAAGGATGAAAAAGACAAGAAGAAGAAAAGCAGCAGAAATTCCCATTAGGAACAGCTCCCTTTTGAGATGAATCCATACAGGGATTCCCTAGGAAAAATAATGATGTAGGGCAAAGGGCCTGACATAGCAGTTTAACTGACACAGCAATTAGTCACAGACTGGCTACGCTGGGGACAATTGAGAATAGGCCAGCTCCTTGTTCCTTGCCAGTATTTATTAGATATAAACAAGACTTGCTTTCAGCTTCTTTATAATCTGAAACAGGGTCTCATAATGAATAACACTTCTGCTATTAACAATGAACGGCTGACTAAATTAATGAGTAAACTCTAAGGGTTCCTGAGGAGTTTGGATAGAATAGGGTTCAACAAACTCAAATGTGAAAACTGCAGTACAATACCATTGTGCTTGTCAAACACCTATTTTTTTTTCCGCATCATGTTAAAGATAAGAACAGTTTCCTTAGCAACCAATACATACCTTCTCATTTTTGTTAAATATACCAAACACTTCTTTTTTTTTTTTTTTTTAATCTTTTGGAAACAGGGTTTTACTATGCAGTTCAGGTTGGCCTTAAACTTAATTTGTAGTCCAGGCTGGCCTCAAATTTGCAGTGATCCTCCTGCCTCAGCCTCCCAAGTGCTGGGATTACAGGTGTGTACCACCAAACATCTATTTTTAAAAGCCTCTTCAAATTAGAATTCCTAAGGATAGGAAAGATGGTAAGTATTATTTATGTAAGACTATATGATACGTGATAGAGGTAAGTGAGAAAAAAGAAATTCAAACAGTGGCTCAAAGGGGTCAAAGTATGAAAAGACTTGCCTGAAAAAATTAAATGTAAATCGTTTCACTAGAATTCCATTTCCTGCCTACTCACTATATTTGGAGAAGACTGAAGCCAATGACACTGGCAATAATGCCTGTTCCTTTGTGCTAAGATACAAATGGAATTTGCAGGGGACAAAGCCACTGACAATTATAGACGCCTACAGAACAAACCCCACAAAGAAATCCTCTAGTTCTGTGGAAAAGAATTTCCCAACATAATTTGCAATTAAAATGTGTAAGGGAATTTGCCTTAAAAATGTGCTGACTGTATAGAACTTCAAAGGCTCATGGGAGTGAGAATGAGAAACATAAGCAGGAGACAGAAAGATAAAGAACACAAGAGTAACAACCTTAAAGAATGTGCCATCTGGGTACAAACAGATATGCAGAAAGACCAGAAATGTGAGACATCAAAATACAGTGGCATCTGTGGTAGCAGCTACCTGCGAAGGCACAAAGATCAATATTTAAACTTCTGCTAGGACCTTTCACTTTGGCTGTGCCTACCTCATGCCAATATAATAAAGATATTTCCTAACTCATCAGCGGCTGTGGTATAAAAATTAATTTTTAAATTGGTATTTGCAGATGGTATATGCTTTTCGTTTCTCATCTAGCTCACCCTACGTTTATTCACAGAAACATATATTCTGTGTTTGTGTGGTAAGTGTTATATTTTTCTGTAGGAAAGATGTTACAAAGAACAGCTGGTTCCAGATGAGTACCCCCAAAGCTATGTAATTTATAATGTAAATATCACCGTGAGTCATAGGCGCTGGGAACTGAGGACTTCAGGATACAGAAACAATGGGTAGGCAGAAGTAAAAGAATAGAATTTTAATTTTTCTTTTCTTTACAAGGCTGGACTTAAAACAACTTTTGGAAAGGAGGAGCGTCCTTTCCCCTGTCCTGTTCCTCTGGGTCAGTCTGATGTTCTTATCTACCATCCATCTCATCCTTAGCACTCTGCTGCTGCTCTAAGACCCCCAAAGAGATGTCTGTTTTCACACAGTATTCCATCTTTAAGACTAGTTAGCTTTCTAGTGTCCTTCTAATAAATACTGTAATCCCCTGAAAGTTGCTGATCTCAACCAATCACATTATACAGAGTCAGAGACTGGAAGCATTCTAACACAAAATGTGTGTGTGTGTATCCTTATATATAAAAGGATATATAATATAAATAGATATACAGGGATAGGTATATTTTTTTCCTTTTCCTTAAATGAAAATGCATATTAAATCAAATAACTGGGGAAATGTGTAATATAATGAAAGAAAATGATAACTTTAAGGTGAAGGGAAATCCATTTCTCAAGGGAGAATGATTAGCTAGGATGTCTGCTCCCCAATCAGTTTGAGTTAGTCATGCTTTTTCAGCGCCCCACCTCCAATTTTGTATCCAAAGGTTCTGTAAATGCTTTTGTTCTTTTCTCTTCTTCCTTAAAACCAGTATTAGGGCAGATTATAGAGGGTGAAGGCAGAAGCTGCCAAATCAAGTCCCAGCCAGTAAAAATGCAAATAACCTACACAGGTATCCTACTCCCAAGGTTACTGGCTCACTTTAAACATAAAATATGTACTGGTGCCTCAAAATGTAATATTGTAAGAAGGGAATGATTACATTCTTGGCAAACAGAAGAAAGCTTGGAAATCATATTAAGATTGGTGTGACACTAGCTGGGCTAGTAAACAGTGATATAGGAGGTACAAGTGTTTAGAATACTCGTTAGCTACCCGTGTTTCTATCTTTTTACCCTCTGCTTTACCTTGCCTCTGTAGGTGTTCCGTTGTTTATTTTTCCAGCCATTTCCAGGAAAAGGCGTATGGGACTTGGTATTACCGTAGGGAGTTGGGGGAAGAAGTACAAAGCAGTTACTTTAAATTCACAGCTCAAAACATACTATTTTTAATAAAAAAGATCAAGAAGGATTAACTTCTAGATTCCTAAAATATAATGATTTTGCCTACTGATTTCCTGGTTTAAGAGTGTGGTTATTTATTCAACATCACAGATCTGCTCTAAGTGCAATCTTAGCAACTCCGCTGCTTATAGAGAAGGAAAGGCCTCGTGAGTGTTTGTTAGAGAGTCTCCTCAGGGTAATGAGTCGAACTACATTCTGCTGTCTCACCCAGCCAGAAGCCTCCCAAACTTTTCACTTCCTCTTTCCATTTAAAGGTGGCAAAAAAATATTAAGTGGAAACCTTGTTAGCAATTGGATTTCCTGATGATTTATACATAAAGAACCAAGGAAGTACTGCAGTTGGTAGCAGCAACGCCCCGCTCCACCTCCACCCAGCTCTCATCCTTACCTGCTGTGTCTGCTGTCTCTGGATTGCTCTCACTTTGGGAACGGGGCTTTCTCTGGAAGAAGAGGACTGCTGCCGGGACCGGCTCCCATTCTGCACAGGTTCAGCCATCAGGGCTGCAGATGCCACTGACATGCTCCCAGTGCTACGTAAGGAAGCACTATGGGGCAGGGATGGGGGCGCTTTGGCTCGGGCACCTAACCCAGCCTGGTCCATTTTTCGGATTTGGGTTTGGCCAGTACTGTTTTGTCGTGGCAGAGCAAGAGGTATGTGTCTATCTGGCATATTGTGCCGCCGGGAGAAATCTTCACTCTGAGTGCTACGTTTGGTGAAATCTTCCATACTGCTATTGCTGGGTCCACTGAGTTTGAAGTCTTCACTGTTACTTTGGCTTCTAGAACTGGCAGTGCTTAGGTTCTCCAAACTGGAATCGACAGAGGCCTTTGGCATTGCTGGAATAGGATTATTGAGGTGATAGACTGGATTCTGGAATGACAAGGGCTGGAGACTTCCTGGCTGGTTCAAGGCTGGATGCAGGGGCCTTCTCACTTGAGGTGCACTCTGGGGAGTGCTCTGGGCTTCCCGCAGTTGCTTGATGCTGGCCACCTGGGTTATAGAAAGCTGGCTTCCCGTCAGGCGCATAGGCACATCAAGCATGACAGATGCATGCTCTACCTGAGCAGCGTGAGGATCCTGGAGATCCATTAGGGAGATACTCCGACCATTAGGAAGGCTATTTTCCTTTTCATCTTTTTCAGAATAAGTCATGCTCTGGGAGGAGGCCTGCTGAACCAGTAATAATGTTTTTCCCCTGAAATAACTGTCTGCGTTGTCCTGGCTTGGAGATTTTAATTTATGCAAATCACTGTGGAAAAAGAAAGGACCCTGAATTACTCTGGAGGAAAATTCTACACAGCTAACATTCTGCAGCCTGGGCACGAGCCCTGCTGAAGTTTCACAGGCCCAATGTGGATACTTACATTCTTTAGAAACTCAAGTTTCATCATTACAATTCTTAGAATAAAAGCCAGCGTTTTTAGTTTTCTCACAAAGGCAGAGAATAACAGTGTGTATACCATCCCATCACTGTGTTCAGTTTTTACTAGAATTCCAATAAGTCCCTATTTAGAAAGATTAGCATACCTTGCAAGGTACTAGAATTCACACTTAATTAGTTCTGTTTTAACCTTCAAGAGGAGAAGCTCTGAGTAGACAACTGAAGGGTCTCTGTTAAAGGCACAATGTAAATGTTGCCAATCCAGAAAATGAAGTCTAAATCCAGCTGACATAGACAGCTACAAAATGGTATTAACTGAGGGTGTCCAGAGTTTTTAATGCTACACTATCTGACATCAATTTCAAAAAACTTACTCTTCCATTAGCAGGACAGAGAGTTCTGTATACATTTGCTGAATAGAACTCTACCCTATCATTCTAGAAAGTACGTTCTCCTAGATGTTGTGCATTATGACAAACAACTGAATTTACCTCAGATGATTCAACGTCTTATAACTTTACAGTTGTAAAGTCAAGGAATAAGTTAAAGAGATTTCTGCTACATCTAAATATTCTCACTCTTTGAGACAGTAGTTCCAAATTTCTCTTTCATACCTGTCAGTGGGATCTTCAAATATTTTCTGCAGCCCAGAAGAGAGGCTCCCACTGACATTTGGACTGGAGTTATGCTCAGTGAAGCGTCTCAGTTGCTGTTGTATTGGCGTAGGATTAGTCAGAGACTTGGTAATATCAGCGAGAACACGGGGGAGAGGCCCCAGTTTTGCCACGGTTGCCTGTAGGAAGGAATTTTCACCCTGATTGGATAAGGAGCATTGTGACATCCACCACAGATTGTTTTGGGAAAACGAGGCCCATTGATGGAGGGGTGTAGGTTGGAGGGAAGGGTAGGTATTTGCGTATGGGAGTGGCAAGTTCATAATGCATTGTTATGGAGCAGCGGAACCATGGCGTCGAGATGAATGGAGGAGGCGAAACAAGGTGCAGCAGACATTGAGGAAAGAAAGGGAAATAGAAATTAGGATTATGCAAATAAAAATTAAAAGACATGCTTAAAACAACCAAACTACTGCCATTCCAACTAAAACAGGCATGCAAAGCAAACTAAATCTTCTGTGGCTAACAGACCAAAATAAAGAAGGGGAGGAACCAAACACCTTCTAACCAAGGGAACTTCAAGACTAGAGGGTTGGTTGGTGTGATGAAACTTACAAAGAAAAAGGGCCATGTGAGAAAAGAAATGCATGCCGACGTACAGGAAGGTGCTGCATTCAGGGATCCACAACACGGCAGGGCACACAGTTAGTTGATATTGCCATCCACTAGCCCAGTCAATCTTGGGACCCCTGACCCACTGCCATCTTAGCTTCCATTAGTAAGGTAATTTTTTTAAAAAAACAGCAAAATCAGGTAAATTCTTTCTATATGTCTAGATGTACTCCTGCATCCCAGCATTAGATATTAAAGAGGAAAAAGGGTGTATACACAGTAAAGCCTGTTAAAAAGACCTTGACCTTGAATAAAGCAGGCCTATTTCACAAAGTAACAGTACGTGCACACCACTGATGAAGTTATTCAAAAAAGAATAACTTTTTTGTTGTTTTTAGGCAGGGTCTCACTATGCAGTTCAGGCTGGTTTTGAGCTCACTATGCACCCCTGGCTGGCCTCAAACTCATGGCAATCCTCCTGTTTTGGCCTCCTGAGTATTGGGATTACAGGCAAGTGCCATTATGCCCAGCCAAGAATAACTTTTTAGTACAGGCATTATCCATCTCAATCACTCTTTTTAGGGGATTCTTATTCTCACAGGGGACCTCCCAATATGAGACTTCTCAATAAGTTAGTTTTATATGGTTGCCTTTGGGTATTTTTTGTCTTCTCAACAATCAACAGACTCATACCCTGCTCAAATGGATATAGTGTCATCTAAAGAATGCCTTTACCTGCTCAACAGTGCTGAGCCATGGTTCATATTAAAGGAAGTTACCCTCAACATAGCTTCAACTTAAGATCTAGCTAGCATTTCTAAAAGTGAAGAATGGGTTTTGGAGAGTAAGAAATGGTTATTTTACAAATGTTTTAAGCACCAGTGGACATACTACTATTTATGCTTCCTCAGGATAGTAGTCTTTTTCATAGGCTTTATTCTTCTGCAATTTTTACTAACATATTTTTACATATAATAGGAAAACTGAAGAAAGCAAACAAATCCTCATCACAAAACCATGGTTTTGGAAGTCAATCTAATACCACTAAACTATTTTCTATTACAAAAATCTATGCCTTGCTATAAAATTCCAGAAGGAAAAAAGTGACTGGCATACTTTACAATTTATTACCCATTAATACTCACTAATACAATGAATGTATAATAAAATTTAGTTTACAGTCAGAAAACAAGTAATTGAAATATTCATTTCTGTGTCACATCTGAAAAGCCAACATCAGGGTTTTCAGATTTCATGTGTGATCTTAGCACTAATAATCATAAGCCTCCTGACTCCCACAGTAAAACAAAAAACACCTGCACAAAAAATTTAATGAGGAAAATTACTTAGACATGATAAACAGTATTTTCCAAGTTTTTACTTTTGTTACCAGTTACCAGATAAGGTTTCATCTTATTCTATTACATGTGAATGAGGATGTATACACCAATATTTTGTATTAGTTTGTAGGCAAGTTTTCAGATATGCATTGTACGTGTGTATATTTCATTGATTCAGATAATTACTAAAGAATGTATTAATAATTTCAATGGCTTTCTAGAATTTCACAGCTGTGGAGCACATATTTTATTAAAGGTTGCTTCTAACTAGCAGAATGGGAGAGTGTTACCACTCATAGATATGCTCCAGAATTCAGGTACACTAAAGTTCTCTATCTCCCATTTCCCATTACTCTTCCAGCCTACTTTACCTTATCAAGTTGGGAAACTACTTCCCACAGTAAGGAATGCAAAACTGAAAGCTCTCGGCCCAGATCAATGTAACCATCAAAGCCTGGGGTATTTGAGATGGTGTCTGGATTAGAGATCTCCAAAAGAAAGCGCTTCATTCCACCCCATTCATGTTCTAAAAAATCATTCATGAATGCCATGTATTCCTCTTTGTTACCAAACCTGAAGTGGAGGGTGAGAAAATGAGAAAGAACATATTCAAGAAGAGATATGATCATTTTGAGTTGACTTTACACAGAGGTATACAATTCTTTTATTTTGTGGAGATAACAACTAATTTTGTTTCTCTGTAACTGCTAAGAGAAGTTTGTTTTTAAGGTGCTAGGGACTGAACTCAGGGCCTTCTGCATACTACACCAACATTCTAACACTGTGCACACCACCAGCCCTACAATGTACTTTGTTTATTCCTTCCTTCCTTCCTTCCTTCCTTCCTTCTTTCCTTCCTTCCTTCCTTCCCTTTCCTTCCTTTCCTTCCTCCCTCCCCCCCTTCTTCCTTCCTTCCTTTCCTTCCTTCCTCCCCACCCCTCCATTTATTTTCTTCCTGCTTCCCTCCCTCTCTCCCTCCCTTTATTTTTTGTCGTACCTGGGATTGAACCCAGGGCCTTTGCATTGAATTGTCTCTCTAGTCCTTTTAAAATTTTTTGAGATAGTCTTACTAAGTCAAGTTTCCCAGGCTGGGCTTGAACCTATTTGAGGTTCTGGTATGTATTAAAGTATTATTATGAATATATGAAGTCTCCTGCCTCAGCATGCCGGAGTGCTTGGGATTACAGGCATGCATCACCACACCCAGTTTCTAAAACATACTTTCTTAATATTACTTTAATAAATACCAAACTTCTTTCTTGGAAAAAAAATTTTTTTGAGACAGGGTCTCGCTATGTAGTTCAGGCTGGCCTGGACTCACTACGTAGCCCAGGCTGGCCTCGGAATTGCGGTGATCCACCTGCCTCAGCCTCCCGAGTGGCAGAAAGTCTTCAATAGCTTTCTATTCTCTGTAGAATAAAACTCAAACTCATTTTTTCCCCAGTATCTAAAGCTCTCTATAAAATAGCCTTTACTTACCTACTAAATATTCACTAGGATGAACTTCAATATTGCTAACTTCTTCAAAGTCTCCCAAATATATTATACAGCATTTTCCCCAACCACTGTATACACTCAAAGACCTCCAACAGATGCCTGAACTATGGAAAGTATGAGACTCTATGTATAGTGTTTTTCCCTATAAATATATACCAATTATAAACTTTTCCCTTAAGGAAGCATTTTAAGGTACTCTTTGGCATTCCTGAATTGCCAGCACCACTGCTCTTAAGGTTTGGGGTCATTAATAAGACAAGGGACACTTGAGCTCAAGCACTGTGACACCTCCAACAATTGATCTGAAAACCAAGATGATTATTAACTAGCAGGCAGCATATAAGGGATGATTCACGTTATGGTGGGACAGAGGTGGATAGCATGAGATTTCATCATGCTACTTAAAATGGCATGTAAATTTAAACTTAGAATTGTTTATTTCTGGAATTTTCTCTGTACTGTTTTTTGACCACAGTTGACCATGGGCAAATGAAATCATGGAAAGCAAAACCTTAAGTAAGGGGAGACTACTGTACTATATTCCTTTTCTTCTCCAACCCTTTGCTCACGCTCTTTATTTCCACTAGAAAAGAACCACTTCTTTGCCTATTAAGATGCTAGTTGTCTTCAGGGCCTAATTTAAGCCTATAAAACTTGTCTCAAGATGAACTAGAAATAATTTTCATTAGAACTAGCTCAAAATGGGCAAAAAGGAGTCTTTCTGCATTAGATGCCTAAGAATAAAATAGTCCACTTCTAAAAAATGGACACTAAGTACTAGAAAACAATCTTCTCATTGAAGTTCTAATTCTTTCTTCCATACATTGCTAACAGAAACTTGTTTTTAACTGATGCAGCTCAGGGGTAGATGCTTTCCGCTGAGTGCGAGGCCCTAGATCTGATTCTCAGTACCACCAGGACGAAAAAGAAAAAAAAAATACACTTATTTTTAAGTACATTTATGATCAATTTTATAAGTGTGAATTCTTCCCCAGCTAGTTCTTAGAATTATTTTCTATAAATTATAAAAAAATATGAATTTACAGAGAAAAAGCTGGAAACAATAAAAAATGGAAAGAAAAAAGTATGGGTGTACCCATTCAACTACCAAACATATTTGCTATGTACATTTGCTTTCTCCTTTCTTTCAAAAAATTTTAAGCCTACAAAGAAGCTGAAAGAATATATAATAAATAGCCATATGCCTTTCATTTACATTAGCCAAATGCTAACATTTTGCCAAGTTTGCTTTCATTCTCTACTTATATACATATGGCTTTTTTCCCTGAACCATTTTAAACTAAGTTACAGACATCACCTCTAAATACTTTAGCACCCATTTTTTCAGACTAAGGAATATCTCTTACATAAACCAATGCCAGTTTTGCACTAAAACTTTTGAAAACATTATTCATGAATCATCTTACATGTAGTCCATATTAAAATCCCCCTAATTACCTCCCAAATAACTTTTTGACATTTTTTCCCCCAGTTTTAAGATCCAAATATTTTTCTAGTATTCTATCAGTGTCTTTGGATCTGCTACAGCACCCTTCTATCATGTGCATTTTCCTAACATTGTCTTTCAGGCTAGGCTAGTTGTCTTAGACCATGTAGCTACTACAATTTGTCAGACTGTTCTTCCTAATCTTTTTATACTTACATTTTTACATCTTTATATTGCTAGAATAATAGCATTTACACTGTTATCTTCTGTCCTTTTTTTATTAGTACTTTCATTTCCCAAATTATTGGATATTCTTTGTAAAAACTGTTTTAAGTGGTACATATATTCTACTGAATACATATATTCAATACCAAATATATAGATATATGAATATATATATATTCAGTAGAATGTATGTACCATCCATTGTTTAATAATTAGGTTGTTTACATTTTATTTTTCTATTTTTATTGCTAATACAATAAAAATATGGTATCATGGATGGTGCCCCATCTATGTTTTAGGCTTCATGTTATTTTAGCTTATTAGTACATGTGTGTAGTACATAATGTTTACATTTCTTGTGGGACTGTAATTCCTACTTTCCCTTCCCAGCTTCCCCCTTCTCCATCTTGATTCCCTTCCTTTTCCTTTTTGTATATAATGTTTACATTCCTTAAATGGAGTTGGCACATGTATGTAACGTATCAGTTTCTTTTTAAATTCCTTATCTTTTCTTTCCCTCTCACTCCCTCCATCTCTTGATCCTTCTTCTCTTTGAGATTGATCTACCTCTCTAACTTCCTATTATCTATATTTTGTTTAACTCTTTATTTTTACTTTGTTTCTTATACAAGAGAAACAATGTGATATTTAAGCTAGTGTGTCTGATTTACTTCACTGTTATGGTCTTAAGATGCATCCCCTTCCCTCAAATGGCTCAAGTTTATCTTCCGTTATGGCAGAGTAGTACTCCATGGTATACGAATACCACATTCCCTTTATCCATTCATCTGTGGATGGACATACAGGCTGCCTCCAAGATTTACCTATCATGAATGAGGCCTCACATATTTTTTAAATCATGTGTTTTAAAGTCATTATGGTAACATCACCTACTTGGCAAAGTTGGCCAGGTTCTGAATGACCTTGGCAATAAGAGTTAGAGTCCGAGACGTACGGTCATCAGGATACTCCTGCATAAGGTTGAAAAGACTGGGAGACATAATGGCTGGGCAAAGAAAACGGAGAAACAATGAGGCACTAATGAGCCGCTCACTGATGTCTTGCTTGCCTCGGTTCAGGCACTGGTGCTTCCATGATGCAAATACTTCCTTCAACTCACGAGGGAAAACACTGGGGAAGAAAAAAGATACTAAAACCTCTAAATATGAAAGTACTGTAACATATAAAAGCTCAGCTGATCCCACTCTGATTCAGCAAACCTCTGCTCTAGAGCCATGCCATAAGGACCTAATAGACACCTAGGGGGGATGTTCTGCCTAATTCATGTCTGAGGACTGGTGGAAAATTCACAGAAGGCCAGATGGAGACTGGAAACTTAAAGCTATAAAACCCTGGTTTAGTATAAATTTAGTTTTGCAAAGTGGGAAAATGGTATGAGGCTCCTGACTAAACCATCTGGTTTAATATAGCTCATCACAATCTTTCTAAAAATTGTTCATCAAAAATCTTCCAAAATCTCGCTAATTGCAATGGATAGAGCAATGATCAAATTCATGAACGCATTTGTTCAACACTAGTAAATATTTTAGAAAGCTAGAAAAATACTTTGGGAAATAGAGGACGCAGTAGTAACACTATGGGAAAGATGATTTAGTTATCAACTTGGAAGTACTTTTGCTTAGAATGCAGATTTAGATTTTAGACAGGACTATATTAAGGAAACTCAATTTTTCCCCCTAAGTCCCTCCTTTGGGGACAGTCAGATGATGTTTATAAGGAAAAACATTAGTTTCATAATCAAGGGTTCAGCTTGGACACCAGTTTACCAGTAAGAGTTGATGATCTTGCAGAAAGCCAGCTCACAGCACATTTTTAGATTGCTCTGATGGTCGATCAGTTCACTAGATGAACATTTGCTGGGATCTACTTCACAGTTCTCATCTGATTCATACAAAGCTTTGATGAATTCCCCTACGTGAAGAGACAAGATGACAGATAGTGTAACTATAAATAGTGTCTTCCTGAATAGAATAAAAGGATTTTGGCTTTCTGTCATAAAGTATATAATGGGGAACTCTTTTCTCAGACTTGACACAGAGGTGACAAAAAATTGCCCACCAAGTTGGTTCACTGGTTTGGAACCATTAGTTATCATACTCCACAATATCATGTTTATTTTCCTTATTTTGGAAGTAGAATAACAGTAATCACTAACATCATCACTATAGTATTGATAAAACTAGTAACAATGACTTCAAAAATGTAGCATCTTCTATCTTTTACAAACATTTAATTAGCATGAATTTGTAATTTGTTAAAAAGCTCTACCAGGAATACTATTACTATTCTAGTAAAACAAACAACCCAAACTTGTTTGAATAGCTCCTTAAATAAGGTGTTAATATTGATGCCAAACAGTTATAAGTAAGGCTCTGTTGGCTTACCTCTATAGTGGAGATAGTAATTTAGTCTAGTTCAGAATTGTAGCAGATCTCTTTAAATACTTATTTTCCATAGAAATTTACCTGAGAAGTCCTTTCATACAGCCCATCCCTTTAACCACTTAACAGTGAAGTCCGAGTCTCACTTGGGCGGCATGTTTACTTACTGCCTATCCTGAGTGCTGCGTGGGGCAGGTGTCATTTCACCCAGTTGATTCTTGCATTGAATAAACCTGATAAAATCGTCATTTTTATATTTCCTGTTATATTATCTTATAAAAACTAATGAAAATATGCAATTTTTGGTTATCATATGATTTAAATGTATAATAGGACTGGGTGTTTAAGGATATGCTCAATATTCCCTGAAAGAACAAATTAGCACCTTACCCGTTTATTCAACATTATACTTTATGTATCTTCTAATGCTCCATGTTTCATATTGTTTTGGGTTTATTTGTTCACATGTCTGTCTCATTTCTAGGATGAATGTCCTCAGTGGTTAGGAACTGGGTTTTAATCATGTTTAAATTCCTACTCCCTTGAATAGCCCTCACAGCAACAAATATTGATCAGAAATGACAGTATGTAGTTTTTTTTTCTACAGGTCTTTATTAACAAGGAGTGGATCGGTCAAAGATTCTTCTATATCTAGTTATGTTACTAGAGGTCCAGGCTAGTTATAATAGTTTATGAAAGTCAGCAATACTTTCGACAAAATTAAGTAGCAGTAGAAATATGAAACATTTTCCATCAAAACAGTTAGTACTGAAGCAAATGAAAGCTTCTAAAAATAGCTATGACACAGGACAGCACATGATAACTTGGAAGAAACATGTCTGGAGAACAGAAAGTAATGTGGTACACAGAAAAGAAGGAGGTGGATAGAAAAAGTAAGGGCTTTAGAGCCAAAGAGAGCTATGAAATCCTGGATCCAACCATTTAACTGACTTGGGGACCTTGAAAAGTCACTTCACTAGTTATAGCTTCATCTGCCTCATTTATAAAAGTGTTAATAACACCTGTCTTATAGAATTGTGGTGAGGATCAGCAATAATGCACAAAAAGCATTTCATATGGTTTTTTACGCTTAGTAAGAGCTCCATAAGAAAGTATTATTATGAATAAATTATATTACTTTTAAATATTTTTTTATGAGAAACAGCCAGAACTAGAAAAAGCTTACAAATGTTAACCATTTTCACAATGTAAATATTCAACATATTCTCCATGTCTCTTAAGCTATGTGCCTCCATATAATCTATCTCATTTAAAACTGAGCAATCATTGTCAAATATCTATGTTATAATTGACCAGAGTTTAAATTTCTTTCATAACTATTCTGCTTTGTGAGTTCCTTAAGGTTATATCTACTCTAGGGAAATAATACTAATATTAATGGGTAATATTAACAATAAAATACTGCCAGAGTTTAGCAAAATAAGTAACTTCTAGGCCTAGAAATAAATTGTCTATAGAACCAACACTATACTGTCTAAAGTTCTTTTCTGACTATAAGACAATTAAAACCCTCTACAATTCAGAAAATTATTTTCATTTTTGAAATTATAATCTATGTCTGGTGATACAGAATACACCACATTGCAAAGTACAGCTTGCATAGATTTGTATCTGAAAGGTACGTACTTGACCCACACTATCGAGACATATTAAAACCCACCTGAGTTTCCTTCTTTGCCTCTGAAAATAATCAGATCTAAGGGGGTCTTTATTATGTTGTTTAAATATAACCTTATGCCCAGAACCTTCTATGATGTTTCGTGTATGTCATTAATATATTACTACCTAGTATCAAAATTCCATGTGTGGGAATAAGTCAGCAGGTATGGACATAGTATTGCTGAAAGAAATTTTACCCTTATCACTAAGAGTGAAAATCAGGCCTTCGGAGAAATTTCTTTCCTGTATCTCACAGATGGTATTTCATAGGGCACCAACATGAAATCTAATCTCAATTAGATAGGTAAAAGGGGCTAAAAGAGAGAAGATTTAAATCTACATAAACAGACTTTAGGTAGTAAAAGGTGAATTTTTTTCAAGATGAAGACAGGCTAAGAAGAAGGATGATGTCACACAATATGACTGATAACTTTTAAAATCAGTATCTTGGAGAATTCTTTAAGCAGTCTGGAAACAGCATCTATTTTTTGTATAGGCAGTATGGCAGAACTTTAATAGGAGGAAGATACACTACCCTGGCCCTACTCTTATATTACAAGTATGTTAACAGAGTTCTCTGAGGAGTTACCTGAATTTCTTCCAATGCTCACTGAATTAATTTTCATACCTCATTGGGTCATTCAGCTATTTAATTCACTGTCGTATCAAAGGACTTGTATCTACTTTCATTTTGAAAATCTCATTCAGAAATCCTATTTAACACACTTATTTTTAGAATGTGAATATTTGAGCTTAAAGATGTAGGTGATCAACAAATATTCATCTCTATATCCACAGAATGAAGAATCTGAGATGCTTCATTGTTGCTTTTTATAAAATAACAAAAATCACTAAAGCAAACATGACATAATCTATGTCTATAATAAGCTCTTTATGTAAATGAAACTAATAATCTCACTACAGTGAGATGACTCTATGTGAACACGAACATATTGGTCCTATTTCTTGACCGGTCATTTACTTTGCACTCCTTACATTATGATTCTTTTCCTCCTGATGGCACTCTAAAGCACAAGTGATCTTTAAATTGCCAAAGGCAATGGTCATTTTTTCTTGACCTTTTGTCACCCGTGTCCACTTTCTTCTCTCTTGGTGTTAGGGATCAGATCCAGGGCCTCATGCGTGCTAAACATATGTTCTACCATTGAGCTACACCTTCAATCCTTCTGCCTTTTGATATTCTCTTCTCTATTGGTATCTAGGACTCAGATAACCAGAATTCCTGGTTTTCTTTCATGTTTGCATTCTTTCTGATTTCTCTTTTTCCTTTACTCCATAAACCCAGGTACACCGTAAGATGCCCTTGGCTCTACTCTTTTCTTGCTTTGGTAATCCCATAGCCTCATTTAACTCCCTCACATGGGTTACGTTAGTCACAAGTGTCTAAAAGTCAACTAGACAGATGTCTTGGTTTGTTTTCCCACCTAAAACCCCTGAGATCTCCCACCATAAGTTCAAACTGATTATATGTGAGGTAGAAATGTCATTTCCCTTTTTAAAAGCTTACTATTTCTATGGGCCTATTTCTGTTAAGACTCTTATCTTCCTCCTAGTTATTTACAAAGACCCAGAATTCTCTGTAATATTTCGTTCCTCCTACTTTGCCACAAACTGAAAAAGTTGCTGAGTCCTATGTGTTCAACTGTAACATTTCTTATATTCATTTTTTTCTCTATTCTTATTTGCAGGGATTGCCCATCCAGAGTCTCATTATTCCTTGCCTTCCTCATTACAATGGCTTTTATATTAATTTCACTGACAACACTCTACTCAAAACTTCAGGAGTTTTTCAATGATTATTGTAAAATCTAATCCCTAGCCAGGCTCTTAAAAAATTGGTTCCAATTATTTCCTAAACTTTTGTTGTTTTTCACTTATTTCTTTTGCATCCTTTTTCTACTAAAAGGTTTTGCTTGACACATGCCTGGTTTTGTTTATGCTTATGCTTATTGTTTAATTGCCCCCACTACCACGGCCCTTGCCCATTGTCTGTTTTACCATCACCTTTCTACCCTTTAAGCTATGCATACAACACAAGCGTGTTTTGACAGGAAATTCTGTAAGTCTATCAGGCTGGAATTAATTTTTAAAGATTCTTTGAGAAAACACAGGATTTATCTCTTTTTGGTTATAAGGATAATCCTCTTCTACTTCCCTATCGTAAACTCCTTAAGAACAAAAAAAAATCTCTGTAGTCATTCAACGTATCTTTACAGTCTACTTGATTGTCACACATGACTATGAAGCACTAGAAATTTAGCTAGCTCAAAATAAAATGTGTGGTAAGTACAAAATATACACTCGTATTTCAGACTATAAAAAATGAAATATTTCTTTAATAATTCTTATACTGATTAGTTGTTAAGTAATATTTGGATACCCTCAGGTTAAATAAAATACATACACTATTGATTTCACCTTGTTTCTCCTTTAATTTTTATATTATGACTATAAGAAAATTTAAAATTACCTAGTAAATAAATACACAAAATTACATGTGGTTCATATTATGTTTATATAAGACAGTGCTACATGACATTCTGTCTGAAATACAGATAAAGGAGATAAAAGAAATTGTTACTTGCTTCAAGGAACTCAAACCTGCTGTACCATTAAAGTGGCCAGTACAGTGCTTTCTCTATTAATTAATTAATGGCTAAATCTGGAACTGAATTAATGACCAAATCTGGAACTATGGGGAGCCTAGTCTCCACGAACCACTAATAGGACTAAAATTAGTTATGTAAAAAAAGCTCTAGAGACCTTGGAAGGCAGGAATTAGGAGTTGTGGGAACTGGTAAACATTTCTTCACTTTTGATTAGTTTTGTATGCATGATACCAAATGCTAGGTTAAGCTTTTCAAGACTTTAGTAATATATTTATATTATAATATAAATACTCAACAGTCTGGGGGGAAACATGCCACATCAGATCTAGCAGTGATTATTTACTGATACTATTGTATACTCCCTTTACGGAAGCTGTGTATGTTGATGGCCTTTCTGTTTCCACACATACTATAATAAACTATTGCTTTCCCACTGGTGAGTAGTACAGACTATTGCAAGTGAAACTTAAACCCGAGGACTCTAGGAAACTGAACTAAATAACATGGAGAATTTGAGCTCAATTTGTTTGCATGTGAGCATGAAATAAGTTAAAACTGAAAAGGAAAGAAAAGAAAATAGGTATTTTCCTCTTTCATACCCAGTGCATCATGAAGATATTGTTGTCCCACCAACTTGAGGTATTCTTCAATGGATTTTGTGGCAATGGTGTTCTCTCTGAAGATCAAGACATCATGTTCTCCACAACGGTCCACTTCAGACATCACCAAGTCAGTCAGAAAATCCTGGTAGAATAATGTTCAATCAAGCAGAAATACACTGAATATACTGAAATATCAAATATCCTGCTGCTTGAAGAGTTCAGAATGCTGCTTCAAAAGTTAGGCTACCAAATTCAATTGGAAAGAAAAAAGGCAGCCAAGATAAAAATCCTATGCGTCACTACCCCTAAGTTTAAAATTCCTTCAAAAGTTTTTCACTGTACTTTTGAAAAAGGGCATAATTCCGATTGCAGCCTCTGATCTCTAGATTTCCTGATGTCTGTTTAACTTTTCAGCCTCATCTATATGTTCTTGCTGCATTCTGCTTCAGCCTTTGCCCCCACCCCCTTTCACACCAACCACTTTCTATATACAATGTCCTCTCTCCAGCACAAAGCCCTTTGCAAATGCTGCTCAGTTCTGCCCCACTCCACCCTTACTCCTACTCCCAGTGTCAGGGAACTAATTCCTGGGATCGCTGGGCTCTTTGCTCAAGTATCATTTCCTCAGCAAAGTCCTCTCTGACCAACACTGCCCCAAAACTCCACACATCAGGTCTGTTTGCTCCATGCTCCAATAATACCAAGTATCTTTTTATCCTTTACACTTCTCACTGCAATCACACATTTATTCTGCTAATCTTTTGATTCATGTGTTTTCCTCAGAAAATTGCAAGTCCTACAGGGCTAAGGAATATCAATTTTTGATTAACAACGTATCTCTAGCACCTAACAATCTCTGGCATATATTAATATTCAATACAGAACAGTTACAAATTGCCTTATAGTATCAACATTAAATTTTTAAAACTTATCATTTGAAGTTATTTTCAAGGCTGACTACCATCTGTCTGTCTGTCCATTCACTCATCTATTCATCCATTTACGCATCCATCCATGGAGAAGAAAATCATCTAAGGAGAAATAAAGCCCTGAAGAAACAGCCCCTTCATTCCTCAATGGTCATAAAAGAACTTGATGTAAAATTCAATGATTCTTGTTGTTTGGTTTGAAATGTAATAGCATTATATATTTTGAATATTATATATTGACTGGATATTCTAAGGGCTCCAAAAACCAAAACAGAGATAATGTGCAGATTCATTTTTACATACTTTACACTTACACATTTAATACACTAACAGGACTTCCATTGGAGCAGCTCAATAGTCTAACAGAGTTGTGGACCTAGAAATCATTATTAAAACTTTTGGTAATGGCAACATTTTTTGTCTTGATTTAGATGGTGGTTTCAACAGGTACATCATCTGTCAAAACTTACAGAACCTCACTTTTCATGGCTATAGTATATTGTAAGTAAACTGTATGTTAATCAATTGAAGTGTTTCAATAAAATCTTATGGACACCTCGAATCTGCAGCAACTGAAAGCAGAAAGAACATACCCGCAAAATTTCAAAGATGGGACTCAAAATTTCAATCATATTTTTCTCAACTCTTAAGCTTTTTGAATGACAGTTCAAGATTATTTTCAGTAAATTGAAGCACAAAAATTATAATCAATATGAAGGCAGCTAGATAAGGGAACAAATAGCTAATATGTTGCTATATTGTGATTTATATCAAGAAATTTTAATAGCACTTTATTTTTTAGTTATAAATAAATTATTCTATTTGTGAACATCTCTGGATCTGAAGTTCAATTTTACTGTGACCAGCTGGCTTACAATATACTGGAGACTCAGCTAAGTGAATAAGCCCCATAGGTCAAAGATTCCATCATCAACTGGTGGTTGGTCTTTCTACAATCAGCACATTTCTCTTTTTTTTGTCTTCCTGAGTTTTTACTTTCATTCAGGATGAAATGATATAAGACTATCATGAAACAACTACCAATTGTATAACATCCCTTGGTATTTTTACTCCAAATATAGATTTTAACCTCATGAGAGATCATGCTAATACTCAGCATGTTTCTTGAATCCCTCCTTCTGTGTCATTGGTTCATCTTAAAATATAGTGAGGAAGAAAACCATCATACAATACCCTAGAACAATGGTAGGAACCTATGGCATGCACAGTACACTGGGCTGTTGGTCTATCACTGAAAGTTCTAAAAGGTTCACCATCACTGCCCTAGAATTAAAAGAATTTGAATACAATGTGGGGTTAACATATCAATCCTACCATTTATTTTATCAAATAATAAAGAGATGGTTGTGATATCTATCTTTTATGTAGGTAGACTTGCAATGAATATTGGTTTCTCCATCTTACTTCTTTAGGGTTTTTTTTGGGCAGGTGGAGACAAAGTATCACTATGTAGTTCAGGCTGGCCTTGAGCTCACTATGTAGCACAGGCTGGTCTGGAACTCTCAGTGATCCTTTTGCCTCAGCTTTCCAACTGCTGGAATTACCAGTGTGCACTACCAAACCCAGCCACTTCTTTAGCTTCATAATCCTCATCTCTTCTGGGTCTGCTAATAGACTTCCCTCTTAACTCTTTCTTCTTCCTGTGACCAAAAGCACAGTGCATTTCTCTAATTTGGATCTCCACAGTATTCATATCTTTTTTCTTTGTAAAAGACAAGGAAGCTTCCAGGTAACACAACCCCTTCTTCCACTTACCTTGGCTCTGCCAGTACTTTGAAGAATATGCACTAAGGCACAAGCCAACTCCTCTTTATTTCTCACACTAATTACTGGCTCAAGGACAGAACATAGCATGGTATAGTTGCTGGTGACAAATTCTGCAAATTCTTTGTATTGCTCCATAGGCAGAATGGTGATAGTTTGGAACCGTGACTTAATCCGAATAGAAGGTCCTCCTGTCTTCCCTTTGTTCGGTGTAGGTGTACTCACTGGATACCACTTTTCTACAAATTGGCGACCAGTAACACTGGCAGTGGGGATGTTGACTAGCCCTACATAATTATTCTTGTCCTTTTTCTTCTTTTTTTCCACATCCTTATAAATGTGAACTGTGATGCTATGAAGAGGTGGAAGGCTATAGAATTCAAAATGTTCACCCCAGAAAATATTGTCTGCTTTGGTCTTGCTGGTTGTACGAGCAAAGAGGGTATCATCAAGGCACAGTTCACAGAAATATTTCTTTTTAGGGGCAAGGTCCTTGGCTTCAATGATCCATAAACGGAGAACATTTTCAGCTCTTCTGCAATTGTCCTACAAAGAGGCAACACAGGTGAATTTGACAGCCAGCATTCTAGAAGGAGAACATTTCCACTTAAAGTGATGCTGATTATGTACCACACAAAAGGGAGTCAATGCATAATGAAAAGGGTTAGATATTTTATTGTTTAGGATAATAGCAAGGTCTAAATAAGAATCTTAGAGAACCACATACATTCTATTTTACTTGGGTGGAAATACCATCTTGTAATAGTTGGAGTAAATCTTCCCATAGCAACTGCAATAGTTTTCTACAAGTATAAGAGATAGGCAGGTAAAAAACTTGTGTTCTAGCCCCCTTTCTATCATGTACTAGTTTCTGACATGTATAAGTCATTTGAATTTTCTGAGTCTTTTTATCCACACTGGTAAATTCATAGTAAAATCCACAGTGAGATTATTTTTAGTATAATTGTATATGTATTTTAAAACTGGTATGCTCTTTAAAAATTAGGATATTACTACATTTACTTTCTATTAATTTACGCTTGGCAAAGTGATACGTTTTTAGATACTCAAAGCCACTATTACCTTATTTGGTTGAACTGTCCTTCGAAGGTTTTCCATCCACTTATCTCTCTCTGAAGCTGAGTTACAGCTGAAACATTTACTTCCACTTAAATAGGTGACCTTCAACATAAAGATTAGAAATAAAGAAAAGGAAATATAAGATTTGGGGGCTTTATCTTCTTTATCATTTAAGACTTAGGGATATATTATCAACCCAAATCATACTAAATGAATCTAAAATGATTTTAGTTTTGTGATAGCTAAATCTACCCCTGCTTTTTCATTTTCTTCTCTATATAGCATACATTTTCATTTCCAGGTATGCGAATAAAGGCCACTTAGAAGTCAGCTGGTTTATGATGCAGAAAAATCAAAATTAAACACCTTTCAGGCCACATCTTAAATTAACTGCAAACTCAATTCTGAATTAATAAAAAATGACCAAAAATGGAAGAGAGTTTCTAAAAAAGATTCCTCAAGACTGCCTTCATTATAATATTAGAGAAGGCTGCTAAAAGAAATTGAAAAGAGTTCACAGTACTGAATTACTGTCTTTGGAATTCATCTCCCCATTAGGCAACTGCCCTGTTGATTAACAGTCATTTATTAGGTTAGCCTGATCACTGATATTACTATCCTTTATAAACGAAACATGACGCTAGTGTGTAACACTGGGCTCAATATGTAGTCTACTCAATTCTGTTCCACAAATAAGGAAAGTGATTTTTATTAAAAAGAATACCAATAATGACCTGCCGAAATTGCCAAAGTCTACTCATGTATTAAATCAATCTCGGGTCATAATCCAATAAACCAGCCAGGCGTGGCAGTGCATGCCTGTAATCCTAGTACTTTGGAGGCTGAGGCAGAAAGACTGCCATGAGTTTGAGGCCAGCCTAAGCTATATAAGTGAGTTCAAGGTCAGCCTGAATGACACAGCGAGACCTTGTCTCAAAAAAAAAAAAAAAAAAAAAATCCAACAAACCAGAACAGATTATATACTTTGTCCAGTATGGAAGCTACTAGTCTTATGTGGCTAGTGAGTACTTGAAATGTGGCTAATCCAAATTGAGATGTGCTGTAAATGTTGCTTTGAATATTTAGTATTAAAAATGCAAAATACTGATAATTTTTATATTACATGTTGAAGCATTTGGGTTAAAAATTTCATATATGGATTGCATTACATTTCTGGAACCAAATTATAACACCTCGCATAGTACTCTTTCCTAGCCTCTAATCCTAGTCATTATTTGCACACAGGTGTGGCTTTCAAATGTAACTTGTAAATAGCCTATTGTGTACATTTAATTAAGGAGGGAGTAATGACCTTACAAAAAGTGATACCCATAATTTTCTGGTAAAGGACAACTTGTTCATTCAAGAAATTAGACACCTGTAATGCATTATGGGCCAGGATAGGTACAGGGATTACAGAAATAAAGAAGACATGATCTGCTCTAGCTTTAGTCAGAAAATTATCCTTTGGGTTTATTTCTCAAAACAGTGTTAAAATTAGGGAATTAGAGGTTCACTAGAAAAATAATAACATATTACAAAGTGAGTGATATCACTTATCAATACCAAAAATTTAACATATTACTAAGTCATTGTTAGTTTGCACCTCTGCTGACAATATAGTAAGTATCTATTTTGGGGGGAGAGCACACAAGGCCAAAGAAATGAGATGCTATCATTAATAACTCTGATTACAAATATAGTCAGAGTAATTACATTTAAATGAAGTATTATATACTGTATTATATTAACTATATTTAAATATAATTAGATTTAACATTTCCCCTATATTTTTCAGCAAGTGAAAACCAGTTTAAGATAATGAAACTGGCAATGTAACAGTAACAAAATCACCAAATTACTTGAAACAGAAACCTTGGCAACTACTCTCTTCTTTCTACATTTGTTACCTCAAAGCAGAAGTCTTGTCCAAGGATGCTACTATGGAGTGGTTTCACTGACACAGGCTCCCCTCTACCAAGATCCAGACATTCCACTGCACTGCATGGGCTGAGCAAGGATTCATGGGAACGTGATTCTTTTAATTTAGGCAGCCCACGAGACCTACAAATTGAAGATACTTAAGGTAGTGTTACCTTGGCCAACAAGGAAATGAAGGGCTAATGCAGTGGAGGACAACAACAAATGCATAAATGCCTATTGTAAAAAATAAATGAACTAATTAATAATCTATAATAATAGCAACTATAGTCACATGACATATCAACTATACACATACACATATGTGAACACAATTTTTTTGAACACAGCATAAAAACAATAATTTTTACTCAAGGGAGTGCAAAACTCCTCTACAAACATTATTTTAGCATCATTCCTACACTGGAAGATGGAAAAATATATACTACAGTATTCAGGCTTATCTTACGTATCCCTTTTTATGCAAACATATCATCAAAGGACATGTTATTTCTTATTTTGTTTATGTGACAGCCTTATCTTCATATCACTGACAAAATAATAGTGGCTAAATTCTCATTTTGTTTCTTTCTGTACAGACAGAAAACACACATACAGTCAAACCCAAACTTTTTATCACAAGACTGCCTTATTATGGAATTCAGTATAATATGAATAAAGAATAAAATGCCTTGAAGAAACTCATCATGAAAAAAAAAGCCAAATTCTCAAAGAGAACAGGTCTTTGTCAACACTGTTCAAGTCAGCATCTGGCTGATTTTATTTCCTAGTTGTTCAAAAAGAATGCTGGGAATCATGACTCTTGTCACTTCAGAAGTTAATGCTTCACTGCCTTCCTCTTGAAAGAATTAACATAATGTTCTTAAATCCACACCTGGATGGCTATGCACTTTTACTCAGTAATTGCAGTATTTACAGACTGAAACACCCATGGTTAAATACATGTACTTCAGGAAGTATTTATAAAGGATAAAAAGAAATGTCTGTGTAAAGACATTTATTATTATAAAATACATTAAATAAGCAGCTTCAATCATTTCCTTGAAGTAACTAGGATAACATTAAAAGGGACTGAAATACTTAATGCCAGAGTAATATTCAATTAAGTTATAAAGTAATAAGATACAGAAAAATAACACTAAAGACTGCTCTCTCTTTGGTTTTCATTCTAATATTGTTTAATTAAACGCTATAAAAAAAAGAAACATTTTAAGCAATAAGGCTTCTGTTCCTCCTTACACACACACACACACACACACACACACACAATCAACTTCATGTAAAGTTTTTAAAAATGTGCATTCTAATATTTAGCAATTTTAAAGTACAAAAGTCAACACATATTTTCATTGATAATGCAAAATATGCACAGAAAGGATAAATGTCACCTAATGTTTTTATACATAAAAATATGTCAATGTACCAGCTCATTATTTACTTCCCTTTGTAATTCTAGGTAAGACAATATTTTGCAGTCACATGCAGCAAATATAGCATATCAATAACAAATAACAAAATGCTAGATTTTTGACTTTTAATTATACAACCTGAGGGAAGGGATACTATAATCTTTCTCAAACAAATATAAAACAATTCTAGCTCATCTTTCTCAACTGTTGCTGGAAAGAAAAGCCATGCTCTGGGGTGAGCCTCTCACCAAGAAAGATTAAGGTATTAAAAATAGAAGGAGGTAGACAAAAGGTTTACTTTCACTTCTTAAATCATCTAGGAAAAATTTCTAAAGTATAAATTAATTTTATTTCAAACAAAATAAATGTCTACCTACATGAAGCAACTGTACAGCCAGCTGGCAGTGCAACCCCAAATCATAGCGGTGCCACATATTCCGGTATAGCAAGTCAGTTTCTGAACTACATCTCAGAAAGCAACTCTCTTTTTAGACGACAGGAACCAATAGAAAATGGTTTCTTTGCTGGTTTTGGTTAATGATACTATCTTTGAGTAAATGCTTTCCAGGTGTTATTCAAGTCTTCAATAGAAACGCAATAGAACAAGAAGTCATCTTCACCCAAACCCTGCAAGACAGCTACTCCGTCTTCTCTTCCTTCAGGCTGCATCTAGCCCCTCAGGTAACACAAACAAGGTTCCTGGGCTCTAGGCTGGGTCTGTTGCCATGGTGCTACACCTATAAGGAGATTAGAGCTGGAAGGCAGCAGGGAAAAGCGGCTGCGTGAAGGACTGGGGCATGCTTTGTAAACACTGAAAACAAGGCAAAGCTGACCACTCAAAATGGAAAGGAAGGACTGGTGAGGCTCCTATGCATTTTTATTAGGGGTTCTCAGTCAAAGGCTATAGAAAAGAAACCGAGACAACTCTGGTATTGGAGGAAAATCTCACTAAAAACTCCACTAGGGACAAATCTTAGATGCTTTAGCTTGCTTCAGTGTATGATTCCCACCCTCCCACTAGAAAGAATTTCCCACATTGCACCCTGCGAACGAAATCTTTCTTTCACATCTGTGTTTCCTTTTCTGTACTTGCCCTCATTTAATGCTTCTAGGTATTATTTTGCACAAATGCATTGGGTCTTAATAGCTTTTCATGCTTTGGTGAATGTTTGATAAAATTCTTTTTTCATATTAAATATATAACTAAGCCATCTGCAATTATAATTCAAAACTCTTCCTAGTTATTGAAATTTCAATTAGTTCAGAATCTCCCATTGTTCAATATATGTATATAGAGCGACATGAATTGAAAGCCAAAGTCACTAACGTTCAACATTACTACTGACGAAATAAGAAAGCCCTTCCTGTATCTGGAAGACAGTGTCTCTGAGAAGACAGAAGTAATTCCCAGAGAGGCATGATTACAGTAAACAGGAAGATCAAACAGCCTGGGAATGTCTCGGGGAGGAGGGAGGCATTATCTGTGCAAGTATTTTGATATAATAGCATTAGTAACCCCAAGTCTCCTCTAAACCATGTTTACCTCCTTCTGTACTTTCACATGAATTGATTTTTCTGAGATCTACTAACTGCAGAGTTTTAGCAGCCCTGTGGCACCACAGTTTACTCCTCTAATGGAAAGCAAAATGTGAATTTATTGGGAAAATAATGAGTTTAGAACGACTTTTCCCGGTCCAATCTGACAATAGTGTTCATCAAGAAATTTAATTCTACCCCAAAAGTGGATGCTGTGAGTCCCTTGACTACTGGCCAGGCTCTCTTCCTGACTGCTCCCCTGACTGCCCCCTCCCCGTACCATCAGCTCAACAACATGTACGAATAATTTAGAGCTCTACTATGGTGACTTTTTTATTTAATTGGGAAACTACTTTCCAGAGGGCAATTGTACTTCTAATTAAGGGACACTATATTCTTCACATTTCTGTTTTAAAGTCAGAAGACAATTTTGATTTCTATGTAAACTCTAGCAAGGTAAGCATTAAAAATCTGATTGCTTTTCTGATCAAGATTACCTGCTACTTCTGACCTATTTAAGAGCTAACTACAAGGCAAAAGAACCTCTCTCTGTTCCACAGCCAATGAGTATTACATTGCTTTACCCTCCATCCTTACGTGAAATGAGTTTTAAAAGACAGAAGTGAAGGTATGGGGGAATGGGGAGCCAACACACATGACAGCAGATATACTGATGGAGGACAGAAAAAAAAAAGAGGAGTAAAAGAACTCTGATTAGAACAATTTCAAGTAAAACACAGCTGGATTTCTCAGCTTACCCATCCAATTTTTTTTTAAAAAGCCACATTTTCCCCACAGCTCCAATGGTGCTTGGCTGTGCTAGCTCAATCTACCACATGTTTAAAGATTCAGTTCCAAATTTAGAGACTGGGAAACTTTTAATTAAAATGCTTATTGCCACACAAAATCTTGGACTCCAGTGCAGGTGAGTTTCTGCTTGGCTTGGCAGTTACGACTCCCGACAGCTTCACCGAATTCTTGAAGAGACAGCTCAGCCAGTAAGCTTGCCGCAGCAATACACCTATATTTTAACCAGTATTCACTCCTAAGGCACCCACTGTGTTTGAAAATTTCCCAGGTGGTCATTAGAAACATTTAGTACCCTAATACTGTACCAACAAACACAGATAGTCTAATGAGTCTTTAAAAAAAATAATTATCTCATTTTGGGGAAAATGTATTTTTTTGTCTCATTTTTTTGGTTTGTTTCCCAATGAGGTATTTTGTGAAAACATTCAAAATTTTAAAACAATTTTAAAGGTTTCCCTCCTTCAACTAGAGCATATTCATCAGAGTTCTACTTGTGTACTAAAAAAAACCTCAAACAAAAAACAAACAAACCAGTGTCTTCCCTAAGGATCCTGACAGTTCTTGGTGTACTGATTACTTGGTGCAGGAAAAGTCAGCCCCGGAAACCTGTGTTACTTGTTGATTTGTATGTTAGCTTAAAAGCACACATCACACATAAAGCTATTTATGGGAGCACAGTATATACTGCAGATCCTCCTTCTCCCTGCTCTCAGTCTCCAGACAGCCCAGCTATAAGCCAAGCTGCTAAGGACAAATAAGGATATTTGTCAGCCTGAGATATCATTTAAAATGAACAAACTCTGGTAAGGAAATTCATTAGCATAGAAAAAAAGATGGCATTTTCATGTACTTTGATACATACATGTGATGAAGGTTGACACAGAAAAAAAGACTATAAATATTTAAACATGTTTTGGGGGATAGAAAATTCAACTTGTCTCAATTTAATAGACACTATGGAACAATCTCTTTACAAAAAACTGTACCATGTTACAATATTTTGTCCTTAAGTGATGAATGGAGTAAAATCGCCTAGTACTTACTTAACAAATTAAATATAAACATAACTATGTTGAATTAATAACACATGACACTAAACCAAACTACACTCATAATCCAACCCAGTTAACATACTAGCTAAAAATGAGTGGCAAGACTAATGTATTTTTCTCTTTTATCAAATTTAGTTGCTAGATTTTTAGTCTTACTATTACTTTACAATTGAGGTTTAGAGTGAACGAAAACTAGAAGGGGAAGGAACTGATGAAGCTGAATCACGTCTACTTCTTAATCACTATCAAACTCATGACTATCTGTTTTCCCACTAGTTCTATTTGGTTGAATAGATATATAGGTATGCATTAATCT